TTTGGGTTTGGGGAAGGTGTAGACATTAATAACTGTGATGGTTGGGTTTGGGTTTGGGGAAGGTGTAGACATTAATAACTGTGATGGTTGGGTTTGGGTTTGGGGAAGGTGTAGACAATAATAACTGTGATAGTTGGGTTTGGGTTTGGGGAAGGTGTAGACAATAAAAACTGTGATGGTTGGGTTTAGGTTTGGGGAAGGTGTAGACATTAATAACTGTGATGGTTGGGTTTAGGTTTGGGGAAGGTGTAGACATTAATAACTGTGATGGTTGGGTTTAGGTTTGGGGAAGGTGTAGACATTAATAACTGTGATGGTTGGGTTTGGGTTTGGGGAAGGTGTAGACATTAATAACTGTGATGGTTGGGTTTGGGTTTGGGAAGGTGTAGACATTAATAACTGTGATGGTTGGGTTTGGGGTTTGGGAAGGTGTAAACATTAATAACTGTGATGGTTGGGTTTGGGTTTGGGGAAGGTGTAGACATTAATAACTGTGATAGTTGGGTTTGGGTTTGGGGAAGGTGTAGACATTAATAACTGTGATGGTTGGGTTTGGGTTTGGGGAAGGTGTAGACAATAATAACTGTGATGGTTGGGTTTGGGTTTGGGGAAGGTGTAGACAATAATAACTGTGATGGTTGGGTTTGGGTTTGGGAAGGTGTAGACATTAATAACTGTGATGGTTGGGTTTGGGGTTTGGGGAAGGTGTAGACATTAATAACTGTGATGGTTGGGTTTGGGTTTGGGGAAGGTGTAGACATTAATAACTGTGATGGTTGGGTTTGGGTTTGGGAAGGTGTAGACATTAATAACTGTGATGGTTGGGTTTGGGGTTTGGGAAGGTGTAAACATTAATAACTGTGATGGTTGGGTTTGGGTTTGGGGAAGGTGTAGACATTAATAACTGTGATGGTTGGGTTTGGGTTTGGGGAAGGTGTAGACATTAATAACTGTGATGGTTGGGTTTGGGTTTGGGGAAGGTGTAGACAATAATAACTGTGATGGTTGGGTTTGGGTTTGGGGAAGGTGTAGACAATAATAACTGTGATGGTTGGGTTTAGGTTTGGGGAAGGTGTAGACATTAATAACTGTGATGGTTGGGTTTGGGTTTGGGGAAGGTGTAGACATTAATAACTGTGATGGTTGGGTTTGGGTTTGGGAAGGTGTAGACATTAATAACTGTGATGGTTGGGTTTGGGGTTTGGGAAGGTGTAAACATTAATAACTGTGATGGTTGGGTTTGGGTTTGGGGAAGGTGTAGACATTAATAACTGTGATGGTTGGGTTTGGGTTTGGGGAAGGTGTAGACATTAATAACTGTGATGGTTGGGTTTGGGTTTGGGGAAGGTGTAGACAATAATAACTGTGATGGTTGGGTTTGGGTTTGGGGAAGGTGTAGACAATAATAACTGTGATGGTTGGGTTTAGGTTTGGGGAAGGTGTAGACATTAATAACTGTGATGGTTGGGTTTGGGTTTGGGGAAGGTGTAGACATTAATAACTGTGATGGTTGGGTTTGGGTTTGGGAAGGTGTAGACATTAATAACTGTGATGGTTGGGTTTGGGGTTTGGGAAGGTGTAAACATTAATAACTGTGATGGTTGGGTTTGGGTTTGGGGAAGGTGTAGACAATAATAACTGTGATGGTTGGGTTTGGGTTTGGGGAAGGTGTAGACATTAATAACTGTGATGGTTGGGTTTGGGTTTGGGGAAGGTGTAGACAATAATAACTGTGATGGTTGGGTTTAGGTTTGTGGAAGGTGTAGACATTAATAACTGTCATGGTTGGGTTTAGGTTTAGGGAAGGTGTAGACATTATTAACTATGATGGTTGGGTTTAGGGAAGGTGTAGACATTAATAACTGTGATGGTTGGGTTTGGGTTTGGGGAAGGTGTAGACAATAAAAACTGTGATGGTTGGGTTTAGGTTTGGGGAAGGTGTAGACATTAATAACTGTGATGGTTGGGTTTGGGTTTGGGGACGGTATAGACAATAATACCTGTGATGGTTGGGTTTGGGTTTGGGGAAGGTGTAGACAATAATAACTGTGATGGTTGGGTTTGGGTTTGGGGAAGGTGTAGACAATAATAACTGTGATGGTTGGGTTTAGGTTTGGGGAAGGTGTAGACAATAATAACTGTGATGGTTGGGTTTGGGTTTGGGAAGGTGTAAACATTAATAACTGTGATGGTTGGGTTTAGGTTTGGGGAAGGTGTAGACATTAATAACTGTGATGGTTGGGTTTGGGGTTTGGGAAGGTGTAAACATTAATAACTGTGATGGTTGGGTTTAGGTTTGGGGTAGGTGTAGACAATAATAACTGTGATGGTTGGGTTTAGGTTTTGGGAAGGTGTGAAATTAATAACTGTGATGGTTGGTTTTAGGTTTGTGGAAGGTGTAGACATTAATAACTGTCATGGTTGGGTTTAGGTTTAGGGAAGGTGTAGACATTATTAACTATGATGGTTGGGTTTAGGTTTAGGGAAGGTGTAGACATTAATAACTGTGATGGTTGGGTTTGGGTTTGGGGAAGGTGTAGACAATAAAAACTGTGATGGTTGGGTTTAGGTTTGGGGAAGGTGTAGACATTAATAACTGTGATGGTTGGGTTTGGGTTTGGGGAAGGTGTAGACAATAATAACTGTGATGGTTGGGTTTGGGTTTGGGGAAGGTGTAGACAATAATAACTGTGATGGTTGGGTTTAGGTTTGGGGAAGGTGTAGACATTAATAACTGTGATGGTTGGGTTTAGGTTTGGGGAAGGTGTAGACATTAATAACTGTGATGGTTGGGTTTGGGTTTGGGGACGGTGTAGACATTAATAACTGTGATGGTTGGGTTTGGGTTTGGGAAGGTGTAGACATTAATAACTGTGATGGTTGGGTTTAGGTTTGGGGAAGGTGTAGACATTAATAACTGTGATGGTTGGGTTTGGGTTTGGGGAAGGTGTAGACATTAATAACTGTGATGTTTGGGTTTGGGGAAGGTGTAGACATTAATAACTGTGATGGTTGGGTTTGGGTTTGGGGACGGTATAGACAATAATAACTGTGATGGTTGGGTTTAGGTTTGGGGAAGGTGTAGACAATAATAACTGTGATGGTTGGGTTTAGGTTTGGGTAAGGTATAGACAATAATAACTGTGATGGTTGGGTTTAATAACTGATGCACAGCGACATCTTGCCGTTTTGACAAGTAGATCTCCATAACTTCAAGCTTTGCCTCAAGCATACTACAAGTTATATTAGCAAATAATATAAATATTACGAACATAAACATTAGGTAAGGAGATTACATTACAACCCAGAGTCATAACAACACGCGATGAGAGGCGCAGTGATAAGCAATTTGGCTGTTTGCACAAGACGAAACGTGACAGAAATTTGAATACAGCCATTCAGAAGCACACAATAGTGCTCTTACTGCACTCCAACAAAATGGTGAGGTTTATAATCGAATTAATACATAATAAACCTCTTTAATTGTAGATGCTGAATCACTGATATGTGTTGGCATGCACTGTGTCACAGTTCTAAAGTTTCATTTCAAACTGTTCATTTTACTTTCAAGATCTGAGGTGAACTATCTGCTGCTGCTTTCAGTAGTATGACAATAAATGTAATCTAAAATGGCCTTTTAGCTCACATTATTAACATTTAACACTAATTAGAGCACATGATATATACCTGAGGTCACCATTGTTCGTTTTCTGTAGTTCAGCTCAAAGAAATAGAAAGCTTTCTAAAATATAAATTTCAGGTGTTGGTTGGGACAAGAACTCCTTTTAATAATATTCCTTCAATCAAATGCCATTGCTTTTATTTAGAACAAAACTTATATCAGCCCTTAGGCTCGATGGTCAGGCACACTGCTGTTGGTGTCATCATCATCTGTTATCCTGCGCTTGCATGTGTATTGAACCAGGAATACAATACCTAGTTCAACCACTGGGTGCCAAACTTACATACTGAGTGCCTTTAAACATACAGTATTATCCACTGAATATGGAAGATCTGTTTTTAAACAGCCAGTAAGATTTTGTGTTTGATAGTTTAGCCAGCTGTTGAGCTTGGTAAAGTTGCATTTGACAGACAACAAAAGTCTATCTAACATTTTCTCCTCTTATTCTCCACCATATCTCATAGTACAATAGGACAATATAGATAATCTTTATTTTGTCACAAATATAGAGATTCCCATCGTTTCAATGTGTGTATGCTAGCCAATATTTAGCCAACAAAGCTTTTTTTGTATTAAAAATCTTCATATTTATCTATTTCAGAGTGGCTATAAAGATTTGTGGTAATACTTTTGAATAAAGGTCCATTGGTTAACGTTATTTAATCTGTTTACTAAAATCATGAAACAATACATTTATTACAGCATGTATTATATTTTTAAACATGTACTCATTCATTTCCTTAGTTTAGTCCCTTTATTTAATCCAGGATCGCCACAGCGTAATGAACCACCAACTTATCTAGCATATGTTTTACACAGCGGATGCCCTTCCAGCTGCAACCCATCACTGGGAAACATCCATACACAACCATTCACACACACTACGGACAATTTAGCTTACCCAATTTACCTATACAGCATGTCTTTATACACGGGGAGAACATGCAAACGCCACACAGAAATGCAAACTGACACAGCCGGGGCTCGAACCAGCGACCTTCTAGCAGTGCTACCTACTACCCCATTTGCAAACGATAGTCAAGGAAAATAAAGTTGTTCATTGTTAGTTCATGTTAATTCACAGTGCACTAACTAATGTTAACAAGCATGACTATGGATTTTAATAATGCATTAGTAAAAATTGAACTATAATTAACAAATGTTGTACAAAATTGCTCATACTGAGTTCATGTTAGTAAATATATAAACTAATTGGCCATTATTAAGTGTTGCCAGATTTATAATTAAAAACATGTAGCAATAAAGACTACTTATCCTACATGTTTATAATTATAGGCTATACATATGAGCTCCTTACCTGCTCAACCGCTGGACTCTCACTTGGATTGTTGGACTTTTCACTGATAGAGTTCTGTTCATGATTGGTGTTGTTTGTAATGATGTCACCACTAATGTTGCTTATGACAACGTCATTGCTGATGGTGCTGATGGTGACATCAGATGACTGCAGTGGAGGGAAATGACTGTGTCCGAGCTGCAGTAAAAAGAATCCATTATGGCCAGAAATCAGCTCAATCTGTAACAGTAAACACTGTCCAAACCCCTTACCTCTGTATCTGTTTTCAGTACCATCTTTAAAATCCGTTCAGTGACGAACAAAATGTAAAACCCACCAAAAATGCCTACTACGTTCAGCACATAGTTATCATCTTTGGGATCTAAGCCAAGGGCCTGTTCGGTAGGGATAAAAGAGGAGAATTAGGACTGCATGCATGAAGATTTGGACTAATTGTGTTTTTTTCTTCTAGAGCTACATCTTTTTCTCTCTCTCAAAGCTTTTGTAATCTGTTTCATGCTATAATCTCATTGCAATGCATTCTTACCTCTGGGATAAGTTGGAGTACAGCGTTTGAAAACAGTGTCCCGATGGCCAGTCCAATGAAGTACATCAAAACTTTTGGAAAATATTTCTTTTTAGTAAAAGGCACTAGAAATAAACCCAGCAAAGCAGCCAAGTTAATCACCGTCACAGCCAGGAACCCGTATCCCCAAACTACAGGAAGGAGAAAACAGAGTTGAGGAATGCACTTACACACACACTCACTGGGCCCCTTAACTGGTAGCACTGCTTCCATCACCCTTTGTTTAATGCTGAATTTGAAGTATTACATGAGAAACAAGTGATATGAACAGCAAACTTAGAATAAAATCATGCAATTTGCAAAAAATATAAAAATGCTAGTTGTGTTAAATAAAATAAGCAAACCGTGTAGATGAAATATGAAAACAAGATGCTGCGCTGCCAGAAACTTGTATTATTGTCAGCTAAGTGAAGTAACGACTAGTTTTTGAAGTAACTTATAAGGGTGCTTGATAACATAACAGTGCCTGCGCCTCAATTTGCAGTCTTTCCACCATACATTATTGAATATCACAGATGTTATTACAAAGTATTAGGGGTAAAAGTGCCAGGGTTCTCCTATTTGTATAAAAGCCTGGTGTTAAAGAAAGCCCATCAGATTACATGTGATACTCCCATCCGCTTTTTGATTCATTTCAATTACCTCCCTCAGGATCTCAGTATAGGGTCCCTTTTGGCAAAGACCAACAGATTTGAGTGTTACACCAGGGTGTTTTATTCAATTGTGATCTAAAAATCTCATATTAATCAAGTTACAAAAACATGTTATATCATTTGAGAAACATTGCCAGAATTTGCTCTTTCCTTATCTTTTAATGATGCTAAGAAATTAATTCATGATTTTCTCTCGACTACATTACTGCAATGCTGTTTATATTACTTTACCTAAGGGTTCTAAAAAAAAGTTGCAATGATACAAAATGCAGCAGCCAGAGTTTTAAGGAAATTGAAGAAACGAGAACATATTACTCCAGCATTGATAGAATTACACTGGTTACAAATGCACCAAAGGACAGATTTTAAGATTATTTTATTAGTTTATAAGGCATTACATAACCTGACACCTTCTTACATTTCTGACTGCTTACCGAGATACAATCCAAACTGTTTGCTATGCTTTCCTAGCGCTGGACTTTTAGAATTACACTCAGTAAATCTAATACGATCTGGTGGCACCTCTTTTAGTCACTATGCTAATTTAGAATAGACTCCCAAATAAAGTGAAAGAATTCTCCAACATTCATGTTTTAAAAAGTGTGCTAAGACACACTTTTTAAAAGTTGCATATGAATATAACAGTATGTGAAGTGTATGTATTTTATGTATATATCTATATTGTGCAAGTGTATGTATGCATGTAAAGTGTGTGCATGTATATGCGTAAGGACTATTGTGTGTGTGATTGTGTACACTGTAAAAAATAAATCCGTAAAATTTACGGTAAAAAAACAGCAGCTGTGGTTGCCAGAACTTTACCGTTTAAAAACACGATACAAACCGTGAAAGTAATTTCTCATTTTTGCGGTAAACTACTGTGTTTTATTAATTTATAGAGGTAATATGTCTGTATTTTGATTGACCAACATCTACACATCTTTTGTTACACAGTTAGACACGTTAGCACACCCACATGCAGGTGGTGATGAGGAAGTTACATAATGAGCCAATGCTCATCACAATCAACTTTTCGCACAAGCAGAAAAGAGTATCAGGATATAGAAGGTGCTCAGTGTCATTCACACAGCTACTAAACACCAGTATGGTAACACGCATAAAATTAAAGTCATGAAATAAACATCAACATTAGATGTAACATAAATCTATAATGTACATAACTGATGGGAAAACAACTAAAAAGATCTGTATTAATGTCAACAAAAAGCATAAAATGTTAAGTGCCATGCAGGGAATTCTGGGAAAGTCAATTTACGGTTATTTGCCGCATAAAACAGACCGTTAACCAGGTTACGGATTTGTACTGTAGTATTTTTACATTTTTTTACCGTTAAAATCATGGCCATTTTTTAGGTATATGCATATATGCTTGTACATGTATGCTTTTATCTGAGTATATATTTGTTGTTTATTTTGCTTTAATTGTTTATATATTTGTTTATTTGGGTTATTTTACAATGCTTGTTTGTTTGTTGATTGTGAAGCACTTTGAGTTGCATGTACTGTACGTAGGAAAAGTGCTATACAAAATGTACTATTATTGGAATTTTCATTTGTTCCTTTTGCAATCGATTGGCTGAATTTTAATGGGAAGAGATGGTTGCTGTTTTTAAGTACTATTAATGTTGTTTAATGCTTGTCTAAAGTGTGTGGTATGATATCCTCACCTTAGAATTATAAGGTTCTATCTATTTTTGTCAAATTGAGTTAGACATGTTCTTATTAAATCACAACTCATTTATAATATGGAATGTTTTTTATAAGTTGTTTAGATTTTAAGACTTTTTATTTTAAAAAAACAAATGTTACACACATGCTGTTTCCTATGGAATCCAACTTTGAAACTCAATATCTCGAAATCATTCAGAACACAGATAGAACCTTATAATTCCAAGATGACGATATATGTGTTGCAAATCTAGTGCGCTGCAGAACAAATCGTCCCAAAAGGGGACAATAAAGTTTACAGTAACAGTAACACTGGATATTTCTCTTATTCTGGCCATTCTCTGCAAACCCTATTGATGGTTGTGTGTGAAAGTGCCAGCAGATCAACAGTTTTGTAGATTAGCCAGTTTGGCACCAGCAACCATGTTTAAAGTCACTTAAATCAAAGTTCTCAATGCTCAATTTGAATTTTAAGCAGATCCTCTTGACTATATCAGTTGCTGCCGTGTGACTGGTTAATAAGAGGTTTTAATAAGCAGGTGTACCTAATAAAGTGCTCAGTAAATGTATATTAATATAAAAACATTAATGGCTGTTTTTTTTTTTTTACAGCATCTCAAGAGAGAAACATAATACAGAAGGTGCATTGGGTTTCTCTATTGGGACACAGTAAGTGAAATCCTACCCCTTGTATAGTCTATTAGTGAGGACGTCATTACCATATGAAATGGGATCAGAGAAAAGCTTTATACCCTGAATGTGAAGTAAGAAACTGATACTGTGAAATCCAGATCTTTTACCAAAATAATGTCTGATTCACATTGACTGAATCAACAATGTGACAACTGGTCATGGAAATTCCTCTTATCAGTTCAAATGTTTGCTTTTTGAAAGAATCTCAGTGTGTGTGATGAATAATGTGATAAGAGTATTATCTTTTAACCATAGCTATAGATAGACCCAAAATAAATAGTATGAAATCAATCTCACGCCTTGATGATGAGATCAGTCTCTTTACCGTCATTGTATTATTGTCTATTTCCTCATTGCTCAAAACATATTTTTCAAAGTCCACAGAGGTTATCTAAAGGCCGCTTTCACTTAAATATTCAAATATTTTTCTCACCTTTGTGATCAGATATTGAGGCAGATGCATTAAGGTTTGAAGAAGTGTAAGGGCAGGCGGGGATCAGGACCTGATTGAGAATAGCTGGACACATCATCTCCAGATTGCTGACACTGACCACAGAAGCGTTACTCAACCCAAAGGCAGACAGCAGCTCTGATAATGACAAGCACTACAAAAAAAAAAAAAAGAGGAAAAGAGTACAACAGAAACCAAAAGAGTCACTGATTTTGGTGAAAGAAACTTAACTATAGGTTTAATTTAAGTATAGCTGCAGCACATTATTATAACTAAAAGATTTATGGTGACAATTACTTATTACTTATCTAATCTACACTTTTAAAGAGCCCATATTATGGGTTTTTGAAAATTCCCCTCCATGTAGTGTGTAATACAGCTCTAAGTGAAGTGAAGTATCCAGCTAAGGCTTAAATCTGTAAGAGTACAGTGTTTAAAACGGTTGATTCATCTATAAAAGAGTCGACTCATAGTGCTTCAAACGAGTCACATTGATACCGAGTCATTAGGTGTTTCGCCATGACGTACGAACGAAACCAAGTTATTCACGTGCACGCGCAAACCCGGGAGATTTCAAACCTGAGGCCCCGCCCTCTGACATAGAAACCCAGACACACACACACACACCCACCCACAAACACACGCACACAAACATGCTGGTCGATTGAAGTCACACTGCAGATGGATATTATATCGAGTCTCTACCCAAAGATGAAACCTCAGCATTATTATCAAGCAGTTGGAAACTACTGGAAACTTCTGCAAACTACATGCTACAAAGAATACTTCATCTGCGTTTGTTAAAGGAAGGATCAGTAAAGAGTAACTTACTGCTGGACATGTCAGGATGGGTTTCTTCCTCCATTTCTCAAGTGTAAGTACGTGGGATTAAATTTGTTGCCTCGTTTACTCTAGCTTGCAAATGTATTTAGTTGTGATTTGTTACTTGTAACCGAGTGTACTGTATGAGGTTAACTGGCTATATTCTCTTATCGCGTGCAAAGTCATGCTAAAAACGCGACAGGTGCTGCTTTGTTTACGGAGCTCCGTGTACGAGGGTAGTGTGTGTGTGTTTGTTTGTGTGTGCGCAAGGACGAGGGCAATGTGTGTGTGTGTGTGTGTGTGTCTGTGTCTGTGAAAAGAGCAGAGTGAGACAAGCTATGTGATCTCCTCGACAGTTTTTGGAGTTTTTGCTCAATAAAATAGTTAGTCGTCTGAATTTTCAAGTCCATAGTCTGTATTTACATTGACCCACTGGCAGCTAAAATCTACGCCTACACTATCGAGCGTGTATGAACTGTGGTTACTTTTATATTGCCGATTAGCTGTTTGGCATTACACTCTCTGACTGAAGGCAGTCGACCAATCACAGCAGGCTGTCATCAGTCCAATCAGCGCAGATTAGCTTCGCGCTAAGGAGGGGTTTGGGAACAAATGAATCACTGGGCGATTTATACAGGAGTCGCTGGGATAATCAGGTAAAAATAAATGCAGATTATAAGACCATGAAAGTGTTTTTTGACCTTGCATGCATATTAGACTGTTGTTGGAGACCCTTACAACCAAGATATGACCCTATTTCATGTATAATGGGCTCTTTAAAAAACATTCAAATCAAGAAATTATAAAAAATTATCATAGCTTTATAGCATATCAATCATTATAGTATATCAATCACTATCTTTTATCCATTATTAGCAGATTGTTTAGCAGAATTTACTAAAGAAATTTTAATTAATACATTTTAATATTAATTTTACAGCAATCTTCTTCAGACCATCAATATTTAGGTCAGGTGAAAATATATATTTTTAGCTTAAACTGTATAGTCCTTTGTGATCTTGAAGTCAGCAGTTACTGTAATTTTGGGAGAAAAAAATATACACAGTGCTCTGCATAATTGAGTAAACCCCATTTTAAAAAGGAATATTTGTATCAATTTCTTAGTGAATATGTATTTTGGTGCTTTTATTAAACAGAATAACAGATATATTTATTAAAATAATATTTTGTTTGCAAAAACAAATTACAACCTACAAAATTTAATTAAATTAAAATTTTTTTTTGCTTTTCTTGATTTTTCCTCTTTTTTAAATTTGTGTTTAATATTTTTCTATAACATAAATATATGTGGCATTTGTTTTAGACCGTTACCATAAGTTATTTTGTTAGATAAGCTTCAGATTTGGCTTCAGTACAGACTAATCTAATGTATATGCACAAATATAATATTGTATAGCTTCCTATTAAAAATCTGAATTTAAAAGATGGATTTGTGAGGGGTGTACTTATATATGCTGAGCACTGTATACAGGCTAAATTTAAAATATATACCTGTGACTTCATGAGAAAATGTTGAAATGAAATGAAACAGCCAAACGTTTCTGAGCAAAAGTCAGTCTGGAGCATGAGCTTCATGCCACATAATGAGATGCATGTGTATGCAAACCAAACTGATGTGTGAGATTGTGCAGTTTATTTAGAGAGGATGCTGTTTTGTTCATCGAAATGATTTATGCTGGATGCTGCAGCCCATATGTACTGTATATACTGACTGTGCACGTTATGGAGGGTACCAATGACCAAGGGTACCAATTAGTTTCAGTTGAAAATCAAAACCAAAATACAGGAAAGATTTCATTCTCTAAAACCCTAAAATTAAGCGGGCAAAAAAACAAAAACAAAATAAAAATAAATAAAATAATAAAAAAAGGGGGTAATGACAAAGCAAATAAAAACAAAACAGGAATATTAGCTAATAATCCTATTGACTCAACATTTTTCCAAAAAAATAAAAAACTCAATCTTTGTTTTGTCTTGTTGAGTCAGATTAAACATTTAAAATACACATTTGCCAATTTATTGTTTAATCTGGTATTATGTAATATAAACACTGACTGGATATGAAGGTAAGCTAAACACTTTGTGACATAATGGAAATAAATTCACTGGAACATAAAAGTGTTCTGAAAACGGATACTCAAAATAAGTCATAAACTAGACACATGCCTTATTAAAATGGAAAGAAAGCTCATAAAAGAAGAAACATTGAAGTGAGAGTAATATTATGTCGGAGACTGGACACATCCTCATTTTTACCTCCGCGCTCTTCAGCGGATTGCCTTCATCTTCCACTGCCGCCGCGCGCCGACTGGTTATGAGTTGCAGAAACAACTCCAGGTTTCCCACGGACAGGGAGCTTTCTTCACCGTAGAAGCCTAAAACATTTTGCAGAAAACTTTCCTCCATGTTTCCGTTCTTTCGAAACGACCAACTTTACCGAGCAACTACCCGAGGACAAGTTCAAATCACCAGTCAGGACGGAGGAAAAACAGGCGCGCGCATTCGAGCTCGTAACGAAAGCCGCAGGTTAATAAATGAGAAACGCAATTCTTTCATTTCCCTTTGCAGAGATGATGTGTAATCTCACAGACGAGGGAGGAACAATTATTTGTGGTCTTTCCTAATCATTCTCGGTCAGTGATAGTGGAGCGCACCTCTCCGTTCCTCCGCGGAGCTCGAGCAGCGCTGAGGGTCAAAGAGAGCAGAATGAAGCCTCACTCAATGAAGCCTTTGTGCGCGCTTTTCCAGACTCTAGTCTACAGCAACCTGTTCAGCTCAGACTTTATGGACTTTCAGGAGTTCTCAAAGTACAATGACTGACAAAAGACGGAATCCAAATATTTGCACAGTTCTCCATGACCCATATTTCTTATCTAGCCTACATGACTGACCAGCAATGACTTTGAGTTTTTTGTTAATACTTGAAGTAGTTTATCTATATATTATATATGTACTGTGTATTTATTCTGCATAATATATAACTACAAAGGCCTACATAGGATATATAAAATAATAGGCCTAAATATAAAAGCACAATTATATAGATACAATATTATGAATGTAAATAATAGTTTAACAGTAGGCCTACTTATATATCTGAAAAAAAGTGTTGCAGAACTGTTGAAAACAATTTATTTGTGTTGAATTTAAACAAACAAATTAAGTTTAATAATGTTCAACTTAATTTGCTTGTTTAAATTCAGCCCAAATAAATTGTTTACAACCACTTAATGTTAAAAAAAATGAGTTAATCCAATGAATTATCTTTTAATTATTTTTTTCAGTGGTAAAATTGACAGTAAAAAAATCCGCAGCTGAAAAAAATATGTTCTGAACGTATAAAATTGTTAATACTTGACAATTTGGGTTTATTAGTTAATACAGTAGTTAACATGGATTAACAGTGAAAGCAGATTTGTTAAGCAATACTTAATCTTTGTTAATGTTAACTAAACATATAATACAGTTAATACATTAGTTAACATGAACTAATGGAGAACAAGACTATTATTCATCATTATAATCTTTGTTAATGCTAACTTGCTCATATTTTAATGCACCTCTTTACAGCAACAGCCTTATTAGTTAATGTTTACTTACACATATGCATTTGTTCATAGATTAGATAACATAATCTAACAATAAACACATTCATTTCGCAATACTAAATCTGAAATGTAAGCTAAACATATTTTAATGTGTTAATTAATACATTAGTTCATGCGTTAGTTAACCTGAACAAATAACAGACAGATGTTAGTAACACATTAGATGTTGTAAAAGTTTACAGTTTACAATAAAGTTCATAATCCATTAACAAAAGCTTTGTTAATGATAAATGATGCTAATTAATGGTTAACAAACATGGATAAACGCAAGCTGAAGCCGATGTTTCCACTTTAGCTCCAAAAACTTGCATGTTATTTAGGTTTGTTAACCATTAATTAACATGATTTATAATTTACAAAGCATTTGTTATTGGAATTATGAACTTTATTGCAGTGTACACTATTGCAACATTATCTAATGTGTTACTAACAATTTTGTATTATGTGTTTATGTAAAACAGGGGTCACCAACGAGGGGTCACCTATCGGGGAACCAATCACTGTGAAGGGTTTGATACACTCTCCTTAAATAACCATTTTTCTCAATGTACTTTTAATTATATGTTGTTATTATTAATGATATTTATCTATGTGAAGACACTGATCATGTTAATGATTGCTCACAATAGTTTTCAACAATAATTTAACAAGGAAACATCATGATGCAATACTTTATTTTTCTGAAATAGTTTTAGTTTTTTTATATATATACCTTAATGTCATTAACACATTTTACACCAATGCAGGTGTGATTTAAAAAGAATAGCTTAAAAAATACTAGATTCAGCTTACTGGTATGTGGTGCAATAGTGAGCTATTTTTAGAACAGGCCTGTGGGCAACTCATGTAATCTTTGTGGGCTACCTGGTGCCCGTGGGCACTATGTTGGTGACCTCTGATGTAAACTAACACATTAATTAATGTGTTAATGTATTAACAACATGTTAATATATGTTTAGTTTACATATCAGATTTACTATTGCTAAAAAAATGTGATGCTCATTGTTAGGTCATCGAATCCATAAACAAAAACATCACTGAATGTGTAGTAAAGATTAACTAATTGTAAAGAATACATTTAAAGTTTTACATTAGAATATGTTTAACATTAACAAAGATTATGCAATGCTGAATAACGGTCAGTTCACCATTCACGTATTCAGTCAATTCGTGTTATCTAGCTAACTTATTGTAAAGTGCTACTGAAAGTTATTTCAGATTTTTTTTTTGGTCATACACCAATGTTTTGGAGTGCTAACACCTACACAAAACGTTGTAACAAAAATCTCATCAAAAAACAACTTTTCCCACAAGGAGAGAAAGATATTAATGCACAGAATGAGCTTAGTGTCCTTCACTATCATGATAACCAGTGGTGGAAAGAGTACTGAAAAATCATACTCAAGTAAAAGTAACACTACTTGCCTAAAAATGTAGTGCAAGTAAAAATATCTGTTGTAATTATTACTCAACGTATGAGTAAAAGGTAGACCTTTTTTTAAAATACTCTAGAGTAGTGAGTAGTGAATATTACGCAGTTAAAAGCTGATGCATTTTCATCTAATTTGTACAAGAGTGTGCAAACGTAACATTCTGTAGTGCATCGAGTTATTGGCCAACAGGCACACAACATCATAAGACATTAATATTGGTTTAGATTTTGATTATGCACTATATAAAAATACATTGTTTATATATTGTTTAGACAAAACAAAAAAAATTTACGCAACAGTTTGCATTAATATATTGATGTTACGACAACATATAACAAAATGAAGTGCAGACAACAAACTTTATTATGTTAGCTAAATATTTTCCTCTTCAATCAGAGGCATATTTACATAGCAAAAACCTCAAATCTATGAGTTTAGTACTCAAAAATGTTGTTTCAATCATTATTTTTTTTTTAAAATTGAAATCAAATCCAGCGTTATGTACTGAATTACATGCACACGTTTAAAACCCCAAATAAATAAAGTAGCTGAAATAGTTAATTTTTTGTTTGTTTTCAAATATACTGTTCATGCTTGTAAGAAATACATTTAACAACAACATTTTTGTTTTTCCGTAATTTTTTTTTGTAATAAACCACAGGTTTTAATTGTTTTACAAAACAAAAACATGTACTGTCCCATATTATCAGTATAAAAAATTACAAAAAAACATCAGTGTGTGGACTTAAAAATACAAAACAACTCCATTAGTGTGGAAAATTTTATTTGTGTTGCTACAAATTAAATATTGTTTTAAGTAACTGACAGATATTTACCTTTAAGTTAGCCGCATTTTTGAATTGATGTAATTATCAATATTTTCCTGTTTTGAAAACTTAATAAAATTATTCTGGTAACTTAAAAGTTTTAATCTCATCAGCATTTTAGAATTTTTAAGTTACAATAATGTATTAAACCATGTAGTGGTAACAGACCTCTTGAGTTATTTTTTAGAGTGATGACGTCAGGTGACCAAAATTCAGTGTCTAACCAGCATCTAATCAGAAACGATCCTGCACTTTACTTAAATGGGGTAGACTTTTGTAGTAAAAAATGTACAAACAAAATTATTAGATTAATATTTTTCAAAAAGAGAGCATTAAAACCTAGAGGAATTTTTTTTTGGAATGTATATTTTGATGATATTGTGTGGAAAAAAGCTTGGTTGCTTCCTTTTTGTTTTTGCGTAGGTAACAAGTACAGGGAACTACATTTAAAAATTTTACATAACATTTATGTTAGTAATCAAACATTAACTAAATTTACGCAGACAGATGGAAACTGTTCATTCTGTTTACATCACCCAGAGACGTTGATTCATCTTTTTTTATGTTTGTGAATATTCAAAAAAATTTTGGGAAGATCTATCATTGTATGTCAAAAAAAAAAAAATCAGGTTTTAGTTGCAATTTGACCCCCAAAGATGTTATTTTTTATTTAGTTTCAAACAATTTATCTGTGGAATTTTTAATTGAATCTTTTAATTTTGTTCGGTAAATTTCACGTTCATAAATGCAGGTTAAATAACTCTAAACCTTGTTTAAAGGTTGCTATTGCAGATTTTCATTTGTATATAGAATCGCTCCAATATATTAAGAACGAAAAATGTATAAATACAATTATTGTGGCAAAGGAGCTGAAGTTAATTGATTAGTATTCTTGCTGTTAATTGGTTAAGTTAAAATAGTATCATTGTAAAGATCTCTATGTTGAATTGTCTTTTTATTTGTTTAATTTATGTAATTTATTTTTTAATTTATGTTATTAGTTACTTTTGTATTTTTTGGATGTCATGTTTAAATTGTATATTTGTTGTTCAATAAAAAAATAAAAACAACACCTAATCAAGTGACGTTGATATTTGATTGATTTTAGGTTGTTAGAAAGTGAGCAAAATACAACATCGAAAACCAACATCATATTGACGTCAAATACTGACATTTATTCATCAGATATAGCCAACCAAAATGCAACATCTGATAGACGTCATTGTGGTAACGTCCACACAGCGTCAAGCTGTAACATCATTAGACGTTGATATTTGGTTGGCCGTTGGACATTGACGTCAATCTGGTTTTCATTTCCAAACAAACTGCAACATCTCTATGACATTAGGGTACATCGTCAATCTAACATCATGTTGACGTCTTGCGCCTGCTGGCTGTTAAAGGCCATTTCGGTCATCAAATACAGTATACATCCGTCATCTTCTTATCAACGACATGCATCTAAACCACTGGTCACCAAACGTGTTCCTGGAGGGCCGGTGTCCAGCGGATTTTAGCTCCAACCCTAATCAAACACACCTGAACAAGCTAATCAAGGTGTTACTAGGTATACTTGAAACATCCAAGCAGGTGTGTTGATGCAAGTTGGAGCTAAATTCTGCAGGGACTCCAGCCCTCCAAGGCCGAGATTGGTGACCCCTGATCTAAACAGTCTCTGGGTCAATGCGTGCAAATATTTTTAATCATCTTCACATACAATTAAGAAGTGCTATAAATATTATTTATCAAAAATACTCTACTGTGCAGAACTCAAAAGAAAAAAAAAACTGAAAACAATCATAGAAATGACAAAAAACAATACACATAAAAATTGAAGTGTCATGCAGGGAAATGTGTGAAAAGTGTATTTACGGTTATTCTTATATGAAGCTTTTTGTAATGAGGTTATAGATTTTTACTGCAGCATTTTTTAAGTTTTTACAGATGAAATCAGATATTTTTAGTGTATATTTCTAAATGATCTATTTGATGTGATCTATTTTGGCACACTTAGCTTGCAACTCTGATTTGTGGACATTTCTGTGCAGCACCATGGGTAATGCAGTTTGTTGTCTTGCAAACATGATAGTTTCAAAAATAAACTGAATACAAAGTAAATTGACAATCACAGACAAGTGTTTACCATCCTCTTCCCTTACAAACAGTGACATCCCTGACGATTAATCTGTTATTGTTAAAGATTGGTGACTATGGAGACCATGATTGGCTTTTTAACCACATTCTAGCCAAAACTTTAAAGTTAACCACAATTCATTTGATCCCTGATTGACACGATCAAGCACTGCCTTATAATTATTTTCTTTTTAAATCACAATAGGCATGAAAATACTGTCACAACTTCTGTTTCATGTGAATAAATCCAACCTGAGTAAAGATTTCTGGGCCCTGTGATCTTTTAATAAATAGATTTGCAAAGTAGGACGTTTCCAATAGAAAGGCACAGTGTATAATCAATAGACATCCCTGAGAGAAGTAATATGAAGATTTGCAGTGATTTCCTCAACACTGGTGGATATCCATGCTCCAAAGATAACTGTAGTTTTCTTGGACAGCATCAGGAAGCCGTTGAGATTAAAGTGACCAGGAACATCATCGACATCAAGCCAAACATACACAGCAGGAAAGGAGCAGTGCAAAGTTACGGCAAAGTTCTGCACAACACCAGCATCCTTTACAGTAAACTGCAACATACAAATAAAAAAAAAACAGTCAATGCAGGTGAAAGATTCACTTTCCTAAAAAAGCACCAGAGACTGGATTCACAAAACATTTTTTTTCTCATCTCATTTTGTTTTTATTTTTTAACTTTAAAAACGTTAAGAGGTTCATTTAGTATTCTTAAAAATCTTCTTAAGGATGTGATGAAAGGAAAAAACTATTTTCTTAAAGGATCATGAAACCCCTAAACACATTTTTTGAGATGTTGACAGTCATTTACGTGTCGCACACTGCTAAAAACTCCATTAGGACACATATACTTGTCTAAAAAGTGAAAACCGGTTGTTTTTGCGTTATTCGAGCAATTCGTTCTTCCGTTTTGAAATGAATTCTTTAAGCTATGTCATGGGGATTACATCCTTGTGTGAATTCCAATGTGATGTCTTTGAGTTTGTCATTAATTCAAGAGATAAACTTTGTTTAAACCAATCAGTGTGCTCTATTGTGAATGAGGTGCAACTTCATTAATATGCATGATATACCTTTGAAGACTATAGACCAGTTTTTACTGGTTACAATGTTCAGAGAGGCACCACATTGTGTTGCCAACCGTAATTAAAACAAGTGGAAGAAGAAGAATTGTTTGGAGACATGAGTCGTCAGTGTTGCATTTATTAATGTGCTGCAACAAAGGTTTTGTTTTCATTTCCTTGCTATGAGAGCGCAGCTGGACTCGTGTGGATTACAGTGGTCTGCTATAATGTGACAAAAATATGCTTGTAAGGAACTTTTTTTTTTACCCGAGAGGGTAAAAGATCAGATCTGAAAATGGTGAAATCTGGATCTGTTTACGCCGCATTTTGTGACAGGATTGTCTATACTGCGCACACACAGCTTTCTTACGCTACCTACCAAGTGCATCTAAGTTACAGAGAAATATGGAGGTTTTTTTTCCCATACAGCGTGCTGTATCACACATTCCATTAAAACTACACTCTTCCAGCAGTTCTTTGCATCCATTATCTTGTTTGTCTTGGGGGCATAAATGAAATGTTCCTGAACGAACGTAAAAGAGCCAAACTGCAGATAAAGTCAACAAATTAATAATTTGCCAAATAATTTGATTACTGATGTCCATGTAAACATACTCACTGTCTTTTCCCCCTGCATCTGTATATTGTTTTGCCTCTGTGAAAATTAGCACGTGCTAGAACTGAAACTCCCCTTTTCATGCAAACCCTTCCCTCTTTCGCCACTCGACACTCTCACCTAAACAGAGCTGGACTCACTCACTTTCCTGACTTTTTTCAAACTAGAGGTCCGAAAACACCCTGCTAAGCATGGGCCTTTAAAAGTCTTATAAAACTTCTTAAAAATAGGATAACTGACAACAAGTTGTAGATCCCTTAAAAGGTAATATTCTAATGAAAATATAATTTAGCTTTGTTTTTCAAATATCAGACATTACAAAATTATAAAACATAATAAAAAACTGTGTGATGACTATTTTACTTATTTAAACTAGCACACTTGGCTTATTAGATATTTGTGTTCCAGATTGATATTCTACATGTGTTAACTGGGAGAAAGAGGCAGAAAAGCCTCTTAGAGAATCTAACCAGCGGTGGGAAAAAATCATACTCAAGTAATAGTTCCATCATTTCCCAAAAACGTAGTGCAAGTAGAGTAAGGGTATCTGTTGTAAATATTTTTTTCCAAAGTATAAGTAAAAAGTAACCTTTTCAAAACTACTCAAGAGTGCGAGTAGTGACTATTATAGTGTGAAAGGCAGATGCATTTGCATGCAATTTGTGCATGTGTGAGAAAACATAACATTCTGGAGTGCATTTAGTTATTGTTCAGGGCCATTTGGTGATTTCAGTTTGCTGCATATATAAATCACTCATGTCCTGAGGTTGTTCAGTATGATGCATGTCAAAGATGTAAGTGAAGAGTGGGAGGGGGTGTTGGCGCGGGGTGGCAGGGCATTTGGAAAATGAAAGGAGAGTGAACAGCGGACAGGGGAGGAGGGCGATTGATGAGGGGTTGATCAGTAAAATGAGGTGCCAGATCAGATTTTAGAGGTGCCGGATCTGGACCTGGCATGTTCCGTCACAAATTAGGCCCTACTTTACACCACTTTAACCTTTACTGGGAATAAATTGCTTTTTGATAAATAATGTTGTTAAAGCTCACACACTTTACATTCAAAAACTTGAGTAAGGTCTGACTGCTAAAAAAAAAGATAATAATTTAATACAATTAAAATGTAGCTGAAAACTGGTGATTCATTCAGGACTAAGCTGAAAGTAAGGAAAATGTAGCTGTAATTAATTTGTTTTAGCTATACTTAAAAAAAAAAAAACAGAAAGAATTTTTTTAAAGGTTTTTAAGAGCAACTTTAGATTTTTTCAAGAAATGCTCTTAAGAAAAGTCGTACGAACTTCGAAATAATGTTGAGACATTTCCTAACTTTTTTTCTTGAGAAGATTTCATGGATTGAGCCACAGATCTCATTTATATTTTCTGAGAATGCAGTAAATGAGCCGTCTGGATTGCATGCATGCCTCACCGTGATGTTGGGTTTCTGCAGACCCTCGGCCTGTCTTGGAGAGCTGAGAAAGATGTGATTGTGAGGGCTGATGGGTTCAGCTGCGCTGCTCAGATGAAATGTGATGATGCAGGATCGCCGCGTGCAGTTTCCACATTGTGACAGGAGAGCAGACATAGATTGCTGAAAAACAAGGGTGCTTCCGCCTGCTTTTACTGTAGTCATATTGGACTCCAAAGAACAGACAGGATTAAAGCTGCTCCAGCTGAATAATTTCACCTGCGGACAAACATATAACAAGATAAATACACTGATCAAACCTTAAAGAAGAACCAAACAGATATCAAAAGTTATGAGCTACTTTTTTCTCCATTAGGATGATCATTTTTGATGGTTTAAAGCTCATAACTAGTGAGATCTGAGTTCGTTAAAGAGGCAGTCTATTACATTTTTCATTATAAAGGCTTGATTATGAGATGCACAGCAACTTGTTCATGCTTTATTGTAAGAGGAAGAAGAAGAAGAAGAAGAAAGAAAATCACATCATTTGTCACATATTTTGCTTTAAATGTACACAGCTTTTCATCTGGTTTATTTGCTGGTTTTAAGAAGGCTCTCCCTCAGCGAACTTTGATTGGTTACCTGGATGAGTGTGTTGGGATTCGCTGATTGACTAGTGCATTTTATCTGGAAACGTCATGCAGTAGGTGTCAACTGAACTGAAGGATTTGTGATGTCACAATACATGAATATCTTTCATTGTATAGACTGTTACTGGAAATTTACTATATGCTTTGCTACGCTTCTATAAATAACAATTTTACTCTTTGCACTGAACTTTGAGCATGGCAACTTTATATACTGTGCATCCAGTAACGCATTTATAGCGCTTCACATTTTCCACTTGTTTTTTTTATGTTACAGCATTATTGCAAAATAGATTAAATCCATTTATTTCCTCAAAATTCTACACACAATACTTCATAATGACAATGTGATAAAAGATTTTTTCAAATGGTTGCAGATTTAATAAAAATAAAAAACCTGAAAAGTCACATGTACATTAGTATTCACAGCCTTTGCTTAATACTTTGTTGATGCACCATTTTGCAGCAATCATAGCCTCAAGTCTTTTTGAATATGATGCCATAAGCTTGGCACACCTGTCTTTGGGAATTTTTGCCCATTTCTCTTTGCAGTACCTCTCAAGCTCCATCAGGTTGGATGGTAAGCGACGATGTACAGCGTTTTTCAGTGCTCTCCAGAAAAGTTTAATATGATTATGATCTGGGCTCTGGCTGGGCCACTCAAGGACATTCACGTAGTTGTTGTGAAGCCACTCCATTGATGTTTTGGCAGTGCGCTTTGGGTGATTTTCCTGCTGGAAGATGAACCGTTGCCCCAGTCTGAGGTCAAGAGCACTCTGAAGTAGGGATGCAACGATTATAGATTTTGGTTGTATGATTATAGTCTGAGAAATAATCACGGTTTCACGGTTATCACGATTATTATGCATTCACTAATTTTCAAACCCCACTAGTTTAGAATAAGATGAAAACTCCTTATAATTTACTGTGTTATTTATTGCTGCTCAGTAACTAGTTAATACAGCACAACATAATATAAAAAACAAACAATAATAGTAAATATACTATACAGTATGAATGGAAGTAGTATGAATGGAACTCGGACGTATTACATCTGCCATTTTGTCATGATCCTGTGACCTACCCACATCAGTTGCATCGCTTCACTCTCATTGATGAATTCTGGCATGGCATCATGGGATAGCGTAGCGTCCATCGGATGCACACTTCAAAATCTCGCCAGAAGTAGTAAGTCCTCTGTGTACTTCTTGCATGCTGATTTTCAAATACTATGAATTCAGACATACTACTTGGCTCGCATACTGTTTTTAGCGTACTATTTAGTTTGGAAGTTTGCAATTTTGGATGCAGCCCTATAGTTTTGCTCTCACATTCTGCTCTGTAACAGCTAATCATTTCATTAACAAAAATGTTACTTAACACTGCTGTCATACCTTGGCTTTGACACTGTGCTGCTCAGACTGTCTGTCTGAGACAGCATAGATGAGCAAATCTCCCTTATCTTCAATTCCCACCGAGAGTACAGGAGCGTAAAAATCTGCAGCCCAGTAGTGCAGCATCTTCCATTTACCACCAAACTCTGAATGTGCAAGAAATATTTCCCTGTCAAGAGTAATACTTTACAAGCTTGAATTAACAAATAAATGACCATTGAAAATACTTTTAATGAACAAGAAACGTTTTTTTATATAGAAAGAGTAACAGGGGTAATCTTAACTTTTGTCTTGTTTTATTTACCTACAGAAGACCAGGAAGGCCCCTGCCAGATGTCGTTGAGCTGCCAGTAAAGAGTGCCCATCGTGTGACCTTTGCCCTCACTGATGTCACTGCGACTGCGGCGGTAGAATTCTGTCTGGATCTTCACACACTGTGCCTGCATCACCTGTCAAATAGTACCATTTTGAGCACATTATATTCGGGAATGTAACTTTTTTTAGTTAATGAACTCTTTTCAAATCTCTGTAGCGGAAGTCATCATAGCTAAGTAAATATAACGGAGGCCAGCAACCAAGTAGGTGCTGTGCAGGTAAACCTCACTCCTCTGACCTCTAAAAGTGCTCTAGCGACAGAAGCTAGAGGCCATGGTCTTTAACCTCCTTGGTAGAGCAAATGACTCCCATGCAAAAGGTCACTGATTCGATACCCGTTAGGAGCGGGTTAGGTAGTGTAGGACCGGCGAGGTTACATAAACTTAGGGCGCAGTGAATGGGAGAGTAGAACAAATATTTTTTTACAATCCTAATTGCTGAAATAACAAAAGAAAAACTCCACGATGGTGTTATCAAGACTTTCAGAAACAGGAAAAAAATATTGCGAGACTGATAACAGCAACCAGAAGAGAGAATAACAACAAATTTACTTTCGGCCCGATAGACACTGCATTAGAAACACCTCACATAAGCGGTCATTCATTGTTTGTAATTTGATGCAAAGACGATATAATACATACATATATGGATACAAATGTTCATAAGTTAAAAAAAATATATATATATTAAAAACTTTCAGGAATTTAATATTATGATGACCATTAAACACGTCATAACAGTCTTGTAAAAAGGGTCTATACTTTAAAAAAAAACAACCATAAACAAACATGAACAAGTCTCTCATTTACTGTAAGAAATCACACAGTTTAAAGCAGGGGTCTCAAACTGCCAGACCGCAGGCCATTTGCACCCCCTCTCCTCCTCCCTCCGGCCCACAACTGATGTCAAAAATATAACGAGATTTCGCCCAACAAAACATATATTTTTGAATCACTATCAATGTTGTGCAGTCGCATATACTCTTGTGGTTTCGACCCCCCCACCTACTGGACATTTAAGGTACAGTATATATTAGTTTCAGTTTCTCTCAGTGTGTGGTCGAGCACATGCAGATTATTTCTAGGGCTGATTTAAAGGTTCAGGACACCCTGGATAACTTTTTTTTTTATATTAACAGATGTGTGTGTGTTGAGCATCAGTTAAGACAATGTTAGCACCTGTCAGCTTTAATTGTGGGGAAAACTGGATAATTTTGAGCATTTGCCAGCTAATTTCAGCTTACGGTTTTAAAATGATTTTTGGGGCGGGATCAAAATCGGCGACGCAGCGCAGTACTGCAAGTGCAATGATGACGCGTCGGTTTCTCATTATTATTCATAGCGGAGTTTTCTTATCCTATGAGAAGAGCCGGCTGCTTAATTATTCATGAGACCTGCCAGACCTGCCAGAGTCAAGCCCGAGCTGTGTCACGGACCCACGGGCACACAGTATTTAGCCGTTCATGAAGGCTCATATGCGTTTGTTTCCATGATCCACGCGGTTTGTTGCATGTTTTCCCCCGCGATCTTGTCAGGGCCGATCATACAGCAAAGCTATGTGTGTGCTGCTAGCATTTTTGTCGGGAGAGCAGCACGAGAATTAGAGAATGGCGAACGCTGACTTTCATCAGGAGTTCGTTTACATTCAGACACATCACTGTGCTGCTGTGTTTGCCTAAATCCTTCAGATTACAAGCAGGGCTAATGGTTAAAATAGACAGGTCAGGAGACCTGCTGCACTGAGTCTGCTGGATACGGGGATTGAGGGAGAAGTCCCCATTTATACGGTTTACATGAACACACTTATCTTTATAATTATATAAATTGTGGTTATGTGTATATGAAATTATGAATAACAAATGTAGCAGGGCATTAAATCACTGTTTATTTCTTTGCATTTTAACTTTGTAAACTATAAACTCATGCGTCTCCTCACGGTTTGTCTCATTTTGTGAGCTAGCTTCGTTCGCTCACGTTCTCCCCTGCTGGCCACGCCCACTCCTGCCCGATGCTCGCGGAGCTCCACGCCCATTAATCATGCATCTTTTGAAAAAATTCTGAAGTAGACTTTAACTGAAAGTGGGGGGTGTCATGGCCCTTTAAACATTGAAATATATGGCCATAAGTGCTATATTTTTACTAAAGCTTTATTTTTGTAAATATTACAGTAAATGTGAATAAATACATACTTTTCCCCCTCTTTGTTGTAGTTTTACAAAAAAAAAAAGGTATTGAGAAGAACAGTTGCCGGTAAAGTCAATAAAGTTACCCATACTGCATTATGCTATCTTACGCTATCAGTTAACCTTTTGGTTAAGCAACAATTGATTGGGACATAATCATTCTTATTATTTATGGGGCCTCAAGGTGGGTAGCACGATCGCCTCACAGCAAGAAGGTCGCTTGTTCGAGCCTCGGCTGGGTCAGTTGGCGTTTCTGTGTGGAGTTTGCATGTTCTCCCTGTGTTGGCAAGAGTTTCCTCCAGGTGCTCCAGTTTACCCCACCAGTCCAAAGACATGGTACAGGTAAATTAGGCAGGCTAAATTGTCCGTGGTGTATGGATGTGAATGGAAGTGTATGGAGGTTCCCCAGTGGCTGGAAGGGCATTCGCTGCGCAAATCATGTGCTGCATAAGTTGGTGGTTCATTCCACTGTGGTGACCCCAGATTAATAAAGGGACTAAGCCGAAAATAAAATGAATGAGTGAATGAATGAATTATGGCTATTATTAAATGATCATAGCAGTTTAAACTACCCCTTCAATGTGTACAATAAGAAAGAAGGACACAAAAAGGAGCTTTGATACTTTAGGGAAGAATGTCTAAGTGCATCATTTACATCAGGTTTCCACTTTTTTGTGTGTGCTAGAATGTTAAAACGGCCCTCCTATGAACTGTCAGTCACTGATATGGCCCCCTGCAAATTTTAGTTTGAGACCCCTGGTTTAAAGCCTTTTTCATAACAAGGCTCACACTAGGATAAATCTAGTTAATCAAAAAAATATTATTACCTTTTTCTTCGACAAATTCTATGATGTAGAGAGCAGATTATAAACACAAAAGACAAACATTGTTTTCTTCTGTAATCTGCCTTTTATGATGGGCAGCAAACACTTGTTTCTGAAAGAAGTCTCTTATGCTATGTGTGTACTGTACATGTGTGTGTGTGTGTGAGTGTGTTTACCTGTGTGATGTAAATAGTGTCTCTGTATCTCTGCACTGAGTCTGTGCTGTTGGGAAGAATGTAATGCAGCTCTGCTTGTCTTAGCATCTGCTGATTTCCGTCTTCATGATGCTGCCGATGAGCTGAGAAATTGCTGCTGAAATCCCAATCTGAAGACACTGAAACCTGGATAGTGGGAAAGAAAAAAAATGAGAGAGCTTGGGGACTACATTGTTTTGTGAAAGAAAAATGCTTAATTGAGTTAAATGCAATTTTATGAAAGAGAAGTTGTAACATTACCAGTAAAATTCTGAATTAATGGTACATTTACAGCAAGTTACCAATAATATTATGTGTAAGAGACTACCGACGTCCTATTATGCAATTTTTCAAACTATGGATGTTTACATGGACATCAGTAATCTAATTATTTGTCTTAATCTGAATAAGACAATAATATGATTAAGGTGTTTACATGAGTTGCTTTTTAAATGTTTATGATCCCGTTTAAGATGTTAGAGCACATTGATCAATTAATGTCATTATCATTCGACGACAGTTTCCTTTTCAAACAACAACAGTTTATGTTCGTCATGGGACCATATGTGGTTTTGGACATCAACTGAAGTTAATTTCTCACTCTATGGATGCAAACAGTTGACGGAGGATGCAAGTTCTCAAGCATTAGGCCACTATCTTCAAACTCATTCACTGAATTTTCATTCATTCCCTGCAACAAAGTCACTTCAAAGTCAAGGCACTTCATAATGACGGTTTCTTCCAGAATTCTCTGCAATCATCGTTTCCCACTAGCACCAAAAATGTGCTTTCTTGCTGGAAGCCATTGTTGTAATATCAAAGTCAATTCCATGCGTGTTCAATAAGAAAAGGTCTGGAGAGTTTTTTCTTCAATGCCAAAAATATTAGTAATTTATTAGATACAAATGAATAATTCGATGACAGAGCTTACAAGAATTACATTCAAGAGGTTCGCAACTCGCATACATTTCCTGACTCCAGCATATATACACAACTGATCTTAACAGGTGGAGTTTTGGTTTCACGTCACTTATCAGTCATTCTGCCGTCCCTTGGCTCTTCGTAACCCCTGGACATTACTTCCTCTTTCTGCAACCTTTCTCTGCATACCAGAACTGAACAATTACATGAATCTTAAATATATTTCACAACTTCTACAAGCATCATGACAACTTGTGACATGTCTAGACTATAGTTCTGGAACAAAGGCCCCCACCCTCAATTTATTCTTATTCTGCTTTTCCACTTGTCTGCAGTTCTTCTAAAAAGTATGCAGCACAGTAAAAAAGAGAAAATTTGTCTGGTCAAGATGTTTTATAATACAATAGAAAAGATTGATCAATCTGTTGTTAGTCTAGACATTTTCCTAATAAAAAAACACAAAAGTAATGAAAATAAATTCCTTTTCTCCAACACCGTACTCATTTGTTTATCGTCATATACCTGATAACTGCTGTGTGTGTTCATCCTGTCACAAAATGTAGTGAAAAGTACTACTAAAAACATCTGTAGTGCACTTTTTAGTTTGCATCGCTGTTTACATGGTAAACTCTTAATCTGAGTATTGTCTTTATCATATTAAAACTGGATTATCGGTGTCCATGTAAACATACCAATTGGCCTTCATCATTCAACAAAATATCCTGCTTTGTGTTGAACAGAAAAAAAAGAAACTCGAAGGTTTTTAACCGTTTGAGGGAGAGTAAATAATGAGTGATGTAATCCATTTATAAAAGTGTTCTGCAAGCTAAATACAAACATTCCTGAACATTCTAGGAAACAACTTGCAACATTCTGGGAAACAACTCTTGCTAACTGGGTTGTACAAGCATTTCAAAGAATGATATTGTACAAAACTCATATGAGCTACAAAACTGGTTCACACTTTATTTTGACGGTCCGTTTGTTGAAATTAAGTTACATTGCATCTATATGCCAACTAATTCTCATTAGATTATAAGTAGACTGTTAGGTTGGGGTTAGGGTTAGTGTTGACATGTACTTGCAAAGTTTCTTATAGTCAGTTCAATGTCTGTTGCAGAAGCAGTATCAACAGATTTTAAGCAGACAGTCTACTAATACTCAAGTGGACCATCAAAATAAAGTGTTACCCAAACCTGCATATTGTTTCATTGATAACATTCACATTAAAGTCTCAGGCTCACTGTACAAAATGAAGTTTTAAAATAGTTTATGCTGAAAAAAGCAGGCAGACTGCAATACCTTACTAAGAGTGGACAATGAAGGCCAGGACTGGAAGCCGTACTCTGATGCAAATCGTGTGCGGGGGAAAGCAGTCCAGTCCCAGCAATCAGTGAAGTAGTTGTAGTAGTGTGTATCTCCAAAGTTAGGGTCATAGGGGTTCTGGGCCACCCAACCTTCCCTCTCAGACTCAACACCATTGGTTGGACTAGACACGAGAAAAGGACGACTACTGTCCTCCTGAAACAAAACCCAGTAGCATTGTCAATATTTAAAGTGTTGATAATGATATTATATGTGGATACCAGAACCCAACCAAAGTACAAAGCCTGGTTTCCATACATATATTTGGAATGTAATATTGCATAAAGACTACAGATTTGTGCAACAATTTTATGTCTACTTTTAGCTTCAGACATGTAAAACATTTCTAAAATGTAGTGGAAATGGCAGGATTAATTTCATTTTAAAACATGGTGATCAAATGAATTTTCACTGGTGTACACAGCCTCAGGCAGAGTGGTAGTTGGTGCTTTTATGTCGGTCTCACCTGCAGCACGATGTCTCTGATGTTGTCGACATACAGATTGACATAGTCTTTCACATACAGTGGTCGGTCAGCAACAGATATATTAAACCAGTCTGTTGCTATGGCAGCTTCATTCTCATTGTTCCCACTCCAGATGACCACAGAGGGGTGAGATTTCAGTCGTCGTACCTGAACCACAACACATGGAGGGATCAGAAACTCTTACATAACGCTTGCATCCGTAAGATAATAAAGAAACTTCAAATACAATTTTTAATGTATTCACACACACACGCGCACACACACACACACACACACACACGCGCGCGCACGCACACACAATACTAAACTATGGTATATATTTTTGATTATATAGGTGAGGGAAATACAACTATTCTCTTAGTGATAAAGTAATCTTTGATATCATTACTTTATAAACAAATACTAATTTATATTATTACTATTAAAACGCTTTCTAATTCTATTAACAGGTTTAGTCAATTCTAATATTAAACTAAATTTGTCTGAACATAAAACAATAAATGAAATCGTAACCAATTTGAGTACGAGTTATTAAATTAGCTTTGATTTTTCTTTTTTGATTAAGTTCAATTTTAGGTTCATTCATTTTATTAACGATTTTACAACAAATTAACAGCAGTGGCTAAATTACAATTATTTCAATTTATTGTTTACAACAATTTTGCTAAAAACGAATATTAAATTCATATTTATACAAAAAATATATATTTATACAAAACTAAATTTAACGTATGATAAAATAAAACGCTTCCATGAAAATAGCCATAAGCATGATTTCTGCATAATAGCACAGCTTAATATTAAATCAAAATGTTATATAAAATAACCAAAATATATTCTATATAAATATAAAACACATTTTACACACACAGTCTTGATTAACCAATTCAACGTCTCATTTATGTGGTACAGATTCAATCTCCGTTTAACATCAGACTATGTGCTCTATTTTAACAATTCACATGGCGCAATGGCATTTATGACACATGGTCTAACAGGGTTCTGCTTATTCTCTTAATGAGTTATGGCTGTGTTTTGAGCACAACGTGTATTAAACCAATCAGAGTCTCATCTCCCATTCCCTTTAATAGTCAGTTGCATCGTGCCATGGCGCACTTGCGATTTACATGGCAGACTTTGTAAGTAGTGTTTTTTATATTTATAAACGATAACATTTTTTGTAGCATTTTAATCCTTTACTTTTTCATATGTAAAGATATTTGTGTATTTCCGTACATCCTGTGTGTATTAAGTGATGTGTAAGCGTTTGGACCTGTATAGGCGCACAACTAACGTGCTCTGTGCTGGACTTTAGAACACCTTTTAGTTGGTCAATTGCGTAGTCTATTTCTGTTCCTCAAAATAGCAACACGCCAACAATGTGCCAACAACACACTTCCTTTTCAGATCAGCACACCCAAAGAACCCACAAAGTGGCAAAAATAGATTTAAATTTTAAACAACGTGGCAAAAAATGTAAAATTTACAATGGCGCTGGTCTGAAAATAGCAATAAATTGCACCAAACACGTCCTGTGCCAGGTGTATGATAGGGCCCTTTATTTCAATGAATGAAAATGATTTTCAATAGTGAGGAATCGAGGATATTTGCTTGGAAAAAGTAAATGATTCAAATGTGCACACTTGCACATATATTCAACACACAAAAAAAGGAATCTTAATAAAACATATCTCTAACAAATAATTCTTTAAAATGAAATAAATTTTTTTAAACAATCTTATTCCTCATTGACCCCTTTATTAAACACTTCTTTCAATGCAAACCTGCTGTGTGATTTCTTCCCTCACTGTCTGTATGAAATCCCTCTCTGTCGGGTACAACGCACAGGCAAACATGAAGTCCTGCCAAATCTGATAAAAGAACAAGTATAGAATGTTTTCAGTGCAAAGCATTTCACTGGTGGCGGAGGACAAGATATGATAAACTTACCATAATTCCATACATATCACACAGGTTGTAGAAGAAATCCTGCTCATAAACTCCCCCGCCCCACACTCTCAAAGCATTCATATTAGCCTTCTGTGCAGAGCGGAGCAGGACTGTGATCCTGAAAGGAAAAAACATCACGACAATACCAAAGTTTGAAACTGGACACAATTTAGCTAGGTCACTTGTTTTAAGGCAAAAAACTAAGTATGAATAAGGGGAAAAAACTATTAATATTTTATCACCACACCTCCTAAATTGATTAATTATATTATGAATTGCTCATATTTTTTTCAATTACAATCACAAGTCTTCTAAAATGCTGAATATCCAAATAAGGTATTATTTTAGTGAGTATACACAAATTTGCATTCATTTTCAGCACAAAAAATCTGAATAATCAGGATTCAAATTTGTGACACACAACATAGTCAAAGGTTTTTATAAAGAAAATTTTGTAAATCTCTTTTCATCACTCAGTTATTCTGAAAATACTGTGAACATTTTATAGAATAAAAGGTCATATAGACTGAGTGGAATGATGTATGATCATATCCCTTTGTAAAAATATTACACTTACAGACATGAATAGAACTGTGAAGTTTGTTCTTTATGGTTCAGTGCAGAAGGGAAATAAATAATTTGAGAAAACAGCCAAAACATGTACTGTAATTGAAATCTACAGACATGAATTAAGTGCGATTAAATGGTAAAGTGTGATATAAGAAACCCCTAAAGAGCATTTCAATGTGGTCATGTCGTTGGCCCATGAACATTTCCTGCTAGACAAACTATTTCATAACTGTAACAAGAGGCAATTCAATCGAAACCTAACGTTAAAAAAGATATCATAACATTACTTAGCAATATGTGGCTTCTTTGGGATTCTCAGAATCTATAAAAATAAAAAATGTAAAACAGGAAATACGATAGGACCATTGTTTTTGTTTACATCCCTTGAAATGGTCTATAGAGACAGTTTAGAGAATTCTGTCAGCATTTACTCACTTTTAAGTGGTAACAAAACTTAAGAGTTTTTTTCTTTTATAAAAAAACAAAAAACAAAACAAGAAAAGATACTTTAAAGAATTTGGAAAAACAGTAGCCATTAGCTATGTTTCCATCCACCTATTTTGATGCACATTTTGGATTATCGCAAAAAAAATTCTTGATAGAAATGCTTAAATTTTGAAACTGCACATTCAATATCAAATAAACTAAAAATGTTAAGAAAAAAATTAAAATGATAAGAAACAAATCCACAGACTACAATGGAAACACAACAAAATAAATGTGATTTTGTTATCAGAGATCTTTTGATGATAAAAATGGTGGAATGGACAGCATTAATGGAGTGCGAGCAAACTGTAAAACATCTGAAATGTTGTTTTGGTCATTCTAAAATATCCTAACTAAAGTTCACCTAGAGTATTATTGATGCAAGAGAGTCTCACACTTCCAAATGTCACAGTGCGTTCATTGCATGTCACCACTGTGTTCTGAGGTGCATGTATTTCATAAGAAAAATGTCACTATGTTTATAAGAAACATGTCACTTCATGTTAAAATTGATGCTGGAGAAAGACTCACAGAGCTTCTCCAACCGCAGCACATTCTATTTGTCCTTTTAATAATTGATGCCAGTTTATCAGGAAGTGACAATTTTGTTGTCTTTGACTCACTAGACAGAAACGCTGCTTGATTTGCAAATTCTTCATACGATATTCCAGTTTTGCCCAAACATTTAATTTAAGGGACCTATTATACACCTTGCGCAATGTGGCGCAAGGCGCAACGCAATTGTTTGCTAGTTTCAGCTTGGCGCAAGAGTCGTTTTGACGTTTTGCGCCACGCTGTTTAAATAGCAAATGCATTTGCGCTCATATGTGCGCCCATAGGCAGTCTGGTCTAAAAAGGAAGGCGTGTTGAGGCGCATTGCTGGCGCGTTGCTATTTTGAGAAACTATAATAGATTTTTTAATGGACCAGCACAAAGCCGGTCAATTGTCCAGCGCAGAGCGTGATAGTCATGCGCCTTGCTTACACACTGCTTAATAGACACAAGATGTAGAGCAATACGCAAATATCTTTACATATGAAAAAGAATTAAAATATTAAGGATATATATAGGATATAATAAGGATATATATAGGATATAAATATAACGGATTAAAATATTACAAAACATATTATTTTCTAGCCTACAGAAATATAAAAACACACTTTCATGCCTTTATCTCAGGAGGCTTTTTCTAACAATTCATAACAATTTGGTTTTGTATAATGTTATTATTATTAGCAGTATTATTTATTATATCCATATTTATATTTGTTTTATTAAAAACAAGCTTAGATTTGCCCACCTGTCAGGTTTTAGACCATATGGGGTACAGCATGTGTTTTAGGACATAACTCAGTTGTTTGACCACACTTCGTTAATGTTGTTTATTTTTTCGTTTACTAGAAATTAGAACTGAATTTAGAAATAGTTTTGAAACAAATCTTTGTGCTTAACAAAACAAAATTAATTATTTATAGGCTAATTGATGTCTGTGCGTACAACATGTTTCCCAATCCACAAGAGCAAAAGTGAAAGTTATTAATGAGGAGGCTTATCTCTCATTCTCGCGCTGTAGATGCCGTTTAACTGTTTTCTTGCTAGTGAAATGCTCATTTTTTCCACTTACACTTACTTTACGTCATGTAAATAGCAAATGTGCTATGGCAGGACACAACTGACTCTTAAAGGTTATGGTAGATGAGACTCTGGTTTATTCTCAAAACAAACCTATAACTCATTAAGAAAATAAGCTTAACCCTTTTAGACCATGTACCACAGCGCAAAGTGGATTTTTCCGTCTTTATATTAGAAAAAGTGGGTTCTGACACGCCCTTGATGCGTTTGCGCCCTGCGCTTTGCACTTTGCGCATGGATCGTCAAAATTTTGCCCTAATTCTTTAAATGGAAACATAGCTACTGACTTCCTTTAACATCCATTCATTTTACCACTTAAAACCTTAAAAAATTAGTAAATGATACCATAATTTTCATTCTTGAGTGAACTATCCCTTTAACAGTGTATTTTGAGCGTTTTCCTTACATTTGACTGAAAAAATACACTATAAAGGGCAAAACAGCCCAAAATCTCCAAACTAAAAGGTGCATGAAAAAATGTGTGTTTTATTTCTGGCCTTAATGTAGATAACTTTTTTATCTTCTCACATGTCGGTGGTAACTTGGTCCTGAAAGGCGTGAACAGGAATCCAGTTTGAACCCTTCAGGAAAATTGGTTTGCCATTAATGCGGAAGTAGAAGCTGAGGCCCGGAGAGGAGGGAATGAGCTCCTGGACCAACTTCACTGTGCGGAAAGCAACCTGGTGAGAAACACAAGAGCGGAATGATGCAGACTGAAGCCAGAGCTGAAAATGAAAAGAATAGAGAGAAAGAGAGACATTACCATTCGCTGTGCCTTAAATGTCTCTCCATCGTCCAATTTCACATTTATCTCCAGGTTATAGAGGCGCTGATCTCCATGTCCAAACGGCCACCACAAACTGACATTCTGAAACTGTACAAGGTATATATGAATATACATGCCATTACGTATAATTAAAAATAGTGTTTGATTTAATATTATAAATGAATAAGGTATAATAATTATTAATAAGTTACATAAGGCAACATTTCAAGATTTTATGTAGCTTAATTTGATGTTAAAATAGCTAACTTATAACTATAACAAAAAAACAATCAAAACAAAAATGAAAACTAACAATGAATTTAATACAATAAGTAATTAATAAGTAATATAATATTAAGATAATCTAATCATAACTATAAAATATTTAATTATTATTCAACATTTATGGATTGATGACAAGCATGAAAAAACAAAAATACATTTAATATCCTAAAAATTAACTACAATAAAAATATAATTGGAAAAAAAATGCATAAAAACTAATTATGACTGTCAAACATCAGGATTTACGAAAGACACCTACTGAAATGTCGGACAGTGTAAAATATGTTATATACAGTTGAAACCAGAAGTTTACATACACTCTAAAAAAAGGACCATATTCATTTTTTTAAAAATGTTTGATGGTAAATCATACTAAAAGTTTACTATTAGAGGTCTGTTAGGATTACCTAAATGATTTACATTTGATAAATGCCAGAATAAGAAGAGAATTTCTTTTGAGAATTTTTTTTTATTAATTTCTGGAAAGTCAAAAGTTTACATACATTTTAGGGTTGGGCATCTAAGCTATAATGCCGATCCGATACGCATCTCGATACAAAGAATACGATCCGATATATTAGCGATACATCTGTGACATATTGCGATGCAACACGATACGATTCACACCCATATCACGATACGATGCGATATTTCAGCACTAACTAATTAGATCAAGTTTATGAGATGATGTGAAAGAGGATGCTGTGCCATTGAATGAGTTTGATTATTTATTAACCAAGCAAAACCAAGACTTTTTTTTACAAACTGGCTTTTCTCTCAGAGCCAGAGTGTCAGTTTACAGTAGAGGGCCATTTTAGAACATATAGCACATATTATTTATATATATACATATTATTTATTTATATATATATTATATATTAAAAAATATATATATATTTGCACTCTTTCAACATAAATAAATTTAGCATTGCACAACAAGAATTGTGATTTAACTTTTCAACTATGAAAACAAGTTTTACAAAGATATATTTTGCCACTGATTATTCAAAACTTAAGGTGGTGAACTAGCAGTGTTATGCTGCTTTGAAACATCACTGTCACTGTAAACAACAGGCTAATAAAAATATAACAAACCAGCAATCTTCTTGCTGTGAGGTGGTCAAACTACCCACTGTGCCACTGTGACACCCAATTATTTTTATCATTATTATTATTAATATTATTATTATTATAATTAAATAAAAATTAACAGGAGGAGGTGTTTAAAACCTTCGTTCTCCGTGACACTAGGCTGAATATCTTTGCAGATGAACAATGCAATAGCATTCGTTATTGGCGTAGAGCGAGCAGAACTGTTGCGCATGGAAAAAAAAACTTGCAATGCTTTTCTCACCACTTTTGGAGCTGGTTGAAGCAGTGCGAAAGCCGGGGATGCAGAAACACTGGAAGATGCTTTCACAACAACACCGTGGCGCCGCTTTAAGTGAGATATCAGATTAGTCGTACTGCCCGCGTATTTTACAGATGCGCGGCACATTTTGCAAATTGCATCTGTCCTGTCATGTCGTCCATCCTTAAACCCATAATGTTGCCATACTTTAGATTTAAAACTCAGTGGGGAATAAAATGTTTGTTTTGCTTCCCGCGCTTTCTGAGGGCGCTCCACTAGCTTCATCCGCACACCTGATACACTGAGTTGTAGTGTGTGCACATCCGCAAATCCGTTGCTAAGGCTTACTTTATGTAGGTCGATTAAATTATGCGCCAAAAACAGGTTGACAACACTTGTTAATAAATAAAAAATACATTCTATATTAAAAATATAAGCTGTATCTCGGAAAAATCGATGCATCTCGCAAAAACCGATGCATCTCGATTTGCTTCCAAAATTTCATTCATCCTCTGCTGCTCAACCGATGCACTCGCATCGTGAACGCGCATAACCGCGTATCGATACATATCGGTTAATCTTCCCATCCCTAATACATTTCCTTGATATTTAAAGCACAAGCTTTTTCAACTCTGCCCACAAATTTTCTACATGACTGAGGTCAGGGCTTGGTGATGGCCACTCCAAAACATTCACTCTGTTGTCTTTAAAGCACATTTCAACTGATTTGGCAGTATGCTTAGGGTCATGGTCTGTTTGAAAGACCCATTTGTGGCCAAGTTTTAATTTCCTGGCTGATGTCTTGAGATGTTGCTTCAGCATTTCTACATAATGTTCTTCTTCATGATGCCATCTATGCTGTGAAGTGGTCCAGTCCCTCCTGCAGCAAAACAGCTCCACAACAGGATGCTGCAGCCCCCATACTTCACAGTTGGGATGGTGTTCCTAGGCTTGTAAGCTTCTCCCTTTGTCCTCCATATGTAACACTGGTCATTATGGCCAAACAGTTCAATCTTAGTTCCATCAGACCACAGGACATGTCTCTAAAAATTGTTCTTTTTCCCAGTGTAATTTTGCAAATTGTAATCTGGCTTTTTTGTTGATTCTGGCTTGATGATTTTCTCATGTTGTCACACAAGGAAGCAGTGTGTTTGAGGTTTTCCCTAAATACTATTCTTCAGTTGTGCTTCCAATTAACTCAAATTGTCAATTGGCCAATCAGAAACTTCCAAAACCTTGGACACCATCATCTGAGCTTTTTCAGAGGCATAATCTTATTGTATGTAAACTTGACTTTCAAGAAAGTTATAACAATTTCTCAAAAATATCTCTCATTTGTCTGCTATTAAGCACAACAGAAACAAATTTGATAATCCTAACTTACCTAAAAGAGAAAGAGTTTAGTCACATTAACACTTTTTTAAAATGGTTATGTGCCTTTTTATACAGTGTGTATGTAAACTTTTGGTTTCAACTGTAGCTGCAAAAATAAGAAATCTTTCAAATGTATTAAAATAAATAATTTGATAACATTAAAAGAATCCCAAAATACAAAAAAAGTCATTTTAAATCTCTATGCTTTGTTGCTATCTTTCAAAGCACTAGGTTTTACCCATGTCAGAAAGCTTTTTAAATCATTTAAAATATAATAAAATTATATCATTTCTTCTTTTATAAAGTTTATTAGGTACAGGTTAGAACGAGTATGTTGATTAAACCTCATATAGAAATGATAAACATTAAAACCACCTATATTTTGACATTTTACTTCAACTAGACATGTATTTCACAGATACAGCGTGTTCACCGTCAAGCAAACTAGAACTGATCTCACCTGGTTAACCTGCAAGATAAAGAATGTTTTCCTCTGTCCAGGTGTAAGAGAAAGCTGAAATTCTGCTTCTGAAAGCAGTAATGGTATGGAAATATGCACAAGACCCTTCGATGCAACAACAACATCGAAAAACAATTCGACTTCAACGCTCCAGCTTGAATCTGCAGAGTCTAGATACAAGAAATGATAAATGAAGAACATATGAGCATTTGACTGTGATTTGTGTTGATAATTGCTAAAACCACTGCTCTTTAATTTGCAAAACATACCATATTTTGGACTTGTGGTGAAACTTAAAACCCTAAAAGTGTTGAAGACTTCCAGACGAACACCTTTCCAGATGCCCAGTGTGGGAAAAGATGGACCCCAATCCCAGCTGAATGAACTCTGAGCCTAAAAAGCAGGAAAAACAAAATGTGAACGGGCTTGTGGTAGCCTGTACATCGATTCTTACATATAAGACTTGCAAAATTCTAGACAGAAAATAACGCGACAATGTATGTTTCTGAATAATACACATACTTTTGACCTCTTATTGACATTCAGATAATTGAAGTACTGTATGTGTAACACTTGAAAGCATTTTTATTTTTTAATTACACCAAAAATCCAGATTTATTTTTTTTTAAATGTATTTTGTGTGTTTTTTTTAAACAAACTGTATATTAATGTTTATATCCACACATGACTATGGAATAATTCATCTCAAAAACTCTACACATCCACACAAGAATACAAATTACACTATTGAACTCACAAGCAGGGATGCACTGATGTATAATGTTTGAACGATACCAATAACTCTTTAGATTTGGAGGCCGACTACCAATTTAAAAGTGTATAAATATGATTTTTTCACATCTTTATTGCATGATTGCAAAAAAAAAAGAAAAAAAAAAGCTAAAAACAATACAAAACAGATCCTTTAATAATTGTCTATTCATAAATATTAATAAACACTGCCAGATAAAAAATACAAATAAATATAGCAACAATGTCACTAAACATTACCCAAAATCAAAATACCAATAAAATAATACAAATCTCCAACAGACATTTTTTTTTTCCTAATACATAAATGATTTTAAATGATGTTTTAACAGAAAGGCTAACTAGAAACATCACAGGGCTATCTGGTTACTTCACCTGTGAGAGTGAGAGAGGAACTTTTTTATTAAATGAAAAGAAGAATTTCTGCTCTCACACACAAGTCTGTTTCTCCTGCAAGTCTGTTGTTCTCTTGTTTCAAGGAAAAAACTCCCAAACTGACATTCTCTCTCTACTGGGGTATATGCAAACAGACTTTTAATTTTCAGCCAGCCAGCCAGTCTTTCCATTATGAAATGGCCACGTTTAAGATCCGATTTCTTTAAAATTGTCCCTGCCATGTCTTTAAAATATGACAGTTTTACCCCATAATTTTCAATGGAGTTTCTGCGCTAGCCTGCTGGTATTGACGGCGTTAGCGGTTACATGGTCTCTCTTCTTGTTTCACACTTAAACAAGTAAAGGAATGCTTATGTTTGCTTAATTTAATGTATTTTAATTACATTACAACATCAATGCTTTAAAATGAATCTTATGAAATTAAAAATAGTCACATTAAGCTTTCACCGGAAGTTTATCATTGGCTGAAAAACACTAACTGTGCATATACCTCATTAGCTCCTATAAGCTACAATAAAACTGTGAAAATATAAACCCTTGCGGCATTAAATATAATTAATTGACTTAAAGATATGAACCTAATTTTGTTATAGGCCAGATAATAATAATAATATTAAAAATAGAATTAATTTATCGACCGATATCAATATGGTTGGCGATATTTAGTTCAACCCTAAACATTCACAAGGTTTGTGAATGTGATGTGCTTCTTACCTTTCTAATGAAGTTCACATGACACTCTCCTTTCTGTACAGGAGGAGGGCAGTCTGGTGGTACCCTGTATTTAGTGTGTGCCCGACTCCTCTGAGAGGCGTAAGCCACAGCTGACATTATAAACACCTGAAGAATATTCTCCTGATCCTTGAGCAATCCAGTGACATCAAAATCCTGCCAAAAAACATGTAATGATTTATACAGTAAAGCCCAAAATTATTAAGACCCCTGGCAAATTCTGATTGACACATTTTGTTCAAGGTTAAATAAAAGCTGAGAAATATATTTTTCTGCAATGATGCCTCTTGTACATCATCTTAATATTTTATGGGACTAGCCAGTCATTACAGGTCCAAAAAATGTGTTGGTTGAATAAAAGTAACAGTAAAAAATTTTGCTAAGAGTGGTAATAATGTCAGGCTTGACTGTTTATATCAGGGGTCACCAATCTCGGTCCTGGAGGGCCAGTGTCCCTGCAGGTTTTAGCTCCAACTAGCTTCAACACACCTGCCTGGATGCTTCAAGTATACCTAGTAAGGCCTTGATTAGCTTGTTCAGGTGTGTTTGATTAGGGTTGGAGCTAAAATCTGCAGGACACTGGCCCTCCAGGAACAAGTTTGGTGACCACTGGTTTATATAAATCATTGTTCATGGCATCAGGGGAGTCTAAACTCGGTCCTGAAGGGCCGGTGTCCTGCAGATTTTAGCTCCAACTTGCTTCAACACACTTGCAAGGATGTTTCTAGAATGCCTAGTAAGAGCTTGATTAGCTAGCCCTGGTGTGTCTGATTGGGGTTGGAACTAAACTTTGCTAGACACCGGGCCCGTTTTAAGGGTAACTACTATTCCTTATTTATTATTAATTCATTACATTAAAACCCTTGCACATATAGACACATGCACACATGCTTATGAAGGAACAATTCTAAACTTGTGAGTGTACACAATAGAAATGTATTTACATATCTGCGGAACATATTGTCTGTCGTCCCGATTGTGACTCCATTGAGTGAAATGGTAGAGATTGTGTCGACTCCTTCAAACACCAGGACAACTTTCCCTTTTCCTCTAGAAAAAGCAAACAGTGGAAAATGGATGTTTTGAATTTGCCGTTTACATAGTATACATAGTAAAAGTATAGAAGGCTTTTTATAAACTCTCTAATGTTTCAAATGACTTTTGTGTGAATCAAAATGCCAAAATAAGGAAGACAAAGTTTCATCATCTTTAAGAGTTAGATGATATGTAAAACAAATAAACAGCACCTTCGCCTGTACTTATTAAAATATATGAAAGAATAAGTGATCTTACTGAATTGTATTACATTTTAAATAACTGAAAACATCTTGCTTTAAATTACTTAAAACTTATTGGTTTGAAGTGTTATGATAAAAAAATAATTATTAAAAATGACAATTAAATTGTAATTTAGGCAATACTGTGAAATAGAGTGTTTTACTGTGCCACCAAATTATTTTTCTAAATATGTGCAAAATATATGACAAGATGTTTCAGTATATAAATTAAAAACTAAATGACATTTAGTACAAGTTCTCTATAAACCATCATAAGAATATATGATAGCAATTATAAGTAAAGCAGCTATTGCTAATAAAAAGGACATATAAAATTGTACAAAAATTCTGTATTATGTCTATATATATGCTTTATTTGAGCCCACATTATTCGATCTTAAATCCTTTAAAGTGATAAGTATATTACATGACGAGCCACATTACTGACAGTCTTTCTCTCCAGCTGTTTAGTACAGGTGAGGAGGCGGTCTTCAATGAACATTTAGGACTTACTGAACATCTTGAACTTCCTCAACACAAGCAGGTAGTGAGAACGATGTAGTGTACGTCCAGTTGTCAAGTGAAATCCATCGGTATGCCAGGTCATTAAACCTATAATATGGATCCTGTTGACAGAAGAGTTTAAGGTAACGTTAATCTACATTTTAGTGTCTGGACTGTCAATAAGGAAAGTGTTTTACCGAAATGACTCCCTGACGCTGAAGAGCTGTATGAACACAGCCGGGCACTTCTGCACTGAGAGAAAAAGTGGAGTTTGAGTTCACCAGCTGCCATTTTCCGTTCAGAGAGACGATATTATCTCCCAGACTGAGACTTGACGCTTCAGACAAAAGTGCGCTGTCGAGAAAAAAGACCGCTGACAGATAAAAGCCCACGAAAGAACACGCCACATGATTCATGTCTGTTGTTCATGGCAAACTTCACATCTCTAGGATATATTGTTGAATCACGAGACGTAAGTGTAAAGACACCACCCTGAGGATATTTCTCCTGCACTTCCCGGTTGAAATCAAAAGCAAAGCACGATCAGCTGATCTCTCACGTGCAAGCCAAAACATCCGGTGGTGTTTAAGTTAAAGGCATAAAGGTATGTGGATGTTAACAAAAAATAATTATAGCTATTATTATATAATAAACATTTACTGATATAATTTCAACAGTGCTTGAATAATGTTGAAGCTAACGTAGGTATTCGAGAAGACAAATATTGAGGACTTTTATTATGTCTGCACTTGTCAGGCAAGCAGGGGATTTGATCAAATCATTTGAAATACCTTTTTGTTCAGTTATTATTACTGCAGTGACCGTTTATGATGTGTTTTGATTAATAAGTTTGAAAGAATTATTCAGTAACTTTATTATTAACTAACTAAAAAACTGGCTTAGAAACAGTTCTCAAGTCCAACAGGTCCAGATCTCTGTTATCCATTTTATGGTCTTGTCTAATATATATATATATATACAAAATATATTTAGCAAAATAACAAAAAGTCAACAGCAAAAAAGAATATCCCTAAAGAACCCTATCCTATTTATTATTATTGTTGATTAAACAGGGGAGTACAGTATACAAGGGAATTAACAACAAAAAATAATCATGTAGCCTACATTAAGTATTTTTCCAGCAGTTGGAATGTCTTAATAGCTTTGGTATTACTCTTCAGGGAATCATACAATGTTTTTATACTTTCCAAATAAAATAAGATTTTTTTTTTGTTATTTTGTCCATTTCCAATAATCCAGAGTTGCAATCCACAAATAAAACCATTTTATCAGTTATATTGATACATTTATAATACACTTCAAAAAGTAAAAAGAAAACTTGGGACCAAACCGTTTAGTGTAACTGCAACTGAAAATTAAACGAAGAATTGTTTCCAGCTCCATTTTACAAAAACACAAGGGTGAAAAACCTTCCTTAAACTTACTAATAAAATCAGTACATGGATAATATCTGAATGAAGGGAATGCTTGTTTCCATTTACCATTGCTATTGGAGGAACACTTTTATCTGCAGTTGGGATTGTCCTGATACAATTGTTAATAAATCTTATATCAGTGATGGTGGAAAGGCTCTGGAATAGAGACAGATACATGGTTAAATATTTTTGCAGTATTAATAAGGTCAAGTAATTTGGGGGAGATACAATGAACTTTATTTTGTATTCATTCAAAGTCATTTTTAAACTCAAATTGTTAATAAATTTACTGTAATTATATAAATGGGTGACGCAGTGGCGCAGTAGGTAGTGCTGTTGTCTCACAGCAAGAAGGTCGCTGGGGTGCTGGTTCGAATCTCAGCTCAGTCGGCGTTTCTGTGTGGAGTTTGCATGTTCTCCCTGTGTCTGGTAGGTTTCCCCCACAGTCCAAAGACATGTGGTACAGGTGAATTAGGTAGGCTAAATTGTCCGTAGTGTATGAGTGTGTGTGAATGAGTGTGTGGATGTTTCCCAGAGATGGGTTGCGGCTGGAAGGGCATCCTCTGCATAAAAACGTGCTGGATTTGTAGTTTGTCTTCAAGTAGGACATGTTCCTGAGTCAACATTCCAATCAGAATTAAGGGATAGCACAGTTTATATTAGGTTTAGGCTTACAGTTAGGGTTTATGTACATGATTGTTATCCAACTGTAATTCCCCTCTGATTTTGGGAATAATTTAGTTAGGGTTGGGGATTAGGTATGGATTACATTTTATAACCAATAATTGATGTTCCAGGTTGAACATTCAGCTTCATACTCTGGCAAAAATCACACCCACCATAAGTATTTGACTACACTGGTTGAGATGGAGAGAAAATCCTTGGAGTGGTTTGCAAAGGTTGATTTTTCAAAAAATACAAAACACCTGAAACTTTTGCAAGGGTGGCAGCTGGATCTCATGCATGCCTTGTTGGGCTTGAGCCAAGTCTGTTGCCAGTGGTTTAGGAGTTTATGAGCGATTGCATGGTTTGGGCTGTTTTATCCAATGGGGGCAAGTCAAATTGACATGACAGAGAAAGGTAGTATTACAATTAGGCAAGGTTTCTAACACTTATTAGTTGGTCTGCCGATCCGTTTTAGGGCAGAAGTGATCTTTGGATATTTCCAAAAAATACAATATGGTTTCAGCGCTTCTTCTTCTTCTTCAAAAAAAAAAAAAAAAAAAAAAAAAAAACAGTTCCACATAATATGAGTTATGCATCTTTATTGAAGGGTAAAAGTAGCGGGATTTTAAATAGATATTTAGGCCAATCGAGTGAGTGTAATTTCAGTGTCACAGCTGTGAAAGGTTGGGCCAAGAGCTGATCTGAACATTGCAATTTTTATTCATTTATTTGTTTTTTTTTTTTGTTTTTTTACAATCAAACAGAATATAGGAATCGGTCCCAAACTCCCACTGATGTACAACATCTGACCTTTTCTCCTGCGATTGCATGCACTCCAGGAGTAAGGCCCCAAAAAAAAAGCAGAACAACCTAAAGACATTCTCTCTCCGAGCGGCTCAGAGAGACACACACTGTGGTCATACAGGCATGAGGTGTTGTGGAGTGAGAAGAGCTGATTGGTAGAGAACAGACAGACGCTGAGTTCCCTTCTGATGATGTCCATCTCAGGACTGTGTAGTGTGAAAAGGCCACATTCGGGCCTGCATTCCCGTTTCAGCAGAAAACTGGGCTTGTGCCTCCATAAGAGACAGATGGGGAAATATGGTCTTGCAACAGTGTCCAAAACATGAGAGAACAAACAGTTTGTAAATGTGTCCAGCCAACATCACATGGCATATTTCTGAGTCCATTCCCGCGCTATTCTGTTGTATCTGCAAAGAGGACAGAAAAACATCAGACGCTTAAAATCCAGTGACTCTTCCTGCAGACGATGCCTCCAAAATGCAGGATCAAACCTTTCTGAACACAAAGAAACTCAAATGTCTTCTATGCAATAAACTCTTGCTTTTACGAACTGACCGAACAAAACTTCAGATTACAAACATTATTTAAATAAAAATGGTTAGACGTTAAGGCTGCATGATTCTGGCTAAAATGGGAATCACAACTTTTTTTGTGTGCCTAAAATCAAGATCACGATATTGTAAAGGTTAATATGAGTAGGCTATTATTATTGTTAACTCTCAAACATATCGTGACCTTGGAATTATAAGGTTCTTTCTGCGTTCTGAATGATTGAGATATTGAGTTTCAAAATTTTTGCAATCCATATAACATTCTGTCATGTGTCTAACATTTGTTTTTTTTAAGTTTTAAAATGTAAACAATAAGTTGTCATTCAATAATTATATGTCAACTCAATTTTGACAAATGTCAGATAGAACCTTATAATTCAAAAGTGACGATATGGTAAAACAACAATAATAATATTAGGCCTCTGTGTAGGTCTACTGTTGCTTAAAATATTTTGTACAGCCATTATGGTGGACTTGAATATGTCCTGTTTGTTAATTCAGAGTTAAATTATGACACCAGAATACTATTCATATATATATATATATATATATATATATATATATATATATATATATATATATATATATATTTTTTTTTTTTTTTATATATATATATATATTTATATATATAATATTTATTCATATTTATAAAATTGATTTATTATGTTTAAGACATGTGCTTGTCATTTGTCATTGACAGCACTATTAGACCATTTGTTTTCACTGGTAAAATCAGACATTTGTCATTATCAGACTTCTTGCATAATATTCAACATTAGGCTATATAAGCTAGAATAGCTATACTGACACAATAAAACATTTATTTCATGCACAACACTATGTGTTAGCTATGAAAGAAAAAACATCAAATGCTTGTCATAATCATAACCGTAAAATGCGATATGATCATTTAAATGTGCGGCCAGTTTCATTTTCACTTCCTAGTACGGCTCATGGCTGCAGTCACGGTGATAAAACACACACACACACACACACACACACACACACACACACACACACACACACACACACACACACACACACACATGCAAATCATTCTTTCAGCGCGGCTCTCAAACGATCGTTCTGTGCAACAAACTGAACATTATTTACAACTTTATTACTTGTTCTTCACAGCCTATGCAGGTTCTGTTCACTAAAGTAGCCGTCATTGGCGTGCTGCGTGCACAAGTTCTCGGAAGCTCGTGGTGAGCTCAAGTGTGATTTCGTGGCCGCAAATACATCATTACATGATGACAGTAATGACATTTCTGGGTAAATTATACCTTATAAATACAGTATGTGACGCTTTTAACGCCATTTGAAGGTATTTACATTCCTGTGAAGACTTGTGCGACTGCCTTGATTCTCTCCTGAACTTGAAAATATAATTGGCTGAATTGTAGAAAAGCTGATTTAAGATCGTGTGTAGGGTCGAATCGAGATGATGATCTTTTTATGATTAATCGTGCATCCCTATTAGAAGAACTACAAAACATTATTTAACAATTAATTTAGTTAATATGTTATTTTAATATCCATGGTTTCATTTTCCAGCAAAACTCTGCATTGCAGCACTTTGTTTGCCAAAACAATTAAAGAAAAACAAAACAAAAAACACACACACATTAATTCTCATTTGATAATTGATATTTTTCTGGTATTCTAAAAAAATTGGGACAAAATTAAACAAAATTTATTAGGGGTGTCAAAATTAATTATTTGTTCGGTGCACAGTGATGCAGAAGCAGACAATTCGTTATCAGTAATAGATCCTAACCAGTTATTACGAACTGACGTCATTTATCTCATATGTGCTATATTGCTGTAGCCTACTATGGCAAGGGAGCTTGGCGAGCGCAAGTAATTAAAACGCTCCTTAATGTAGAAACTCTGCACAATTCACAGCGTGTGTGTTTGCTGGACAGTCTTTCACTGACACTGAAGTTACAGCAAAAGCCCTGTATCACTGTTATGGAGAAAATGAAAGTAAACTCCATTTCTCTCTCTCTCTCTCTCACTGTGGACCTTTGACCTGCTGTGCTGGCGTGACAGTTCCTCTCCTATCAGCTGTTACAGCGACA